GAAAAAAGAAGAGAGAGAGAGAGGCGTCATTGGGTCCACTGGGTTACGATCGGAGGCTCTGCTGGAGAAGCGATAGTATCAAGAGAAAAAAAAAAAAAAGAAGGTAGACATCTGTAATATCGGGGATCATCTGCCTACCACCGCGTATCTAAAGACTCCTCCCTATAGTAGTAAGAAAAAAAAAAAACATCGATAACCAAAATCACTTACCTGACCCTTGCTAGTAACCCTGTCACTAAGATTACTTGAGGATCATCCCGTCCCGCTCCAAGGCCTTCTGGAAGGAGGAAAGAAGCCCCTTCCCCGTGTTCGCCCCTCCACTGTCCTCAGCTTTGAGCCTGTTTTTGTTCTTTCACAACTTCTTTCTCTTTTCTCCTTTTTCATCTTTTCTTAATCTCACCACTCACACGCTTACACGCTACACACCATGTCTAACTGACGTCCTTTTTCCCGCTTCTCCCTTTCTGTTCTTTCACCAATTGAACCCCCTTCATCCTCGACTCACGTGTCGCTTTCATCCCATCGCTCTTCCGAATCCGATCCCGGGGTGGAAAAAGTGGGTTGCGCGCTCGGTCTGTTTAGTGCGACAAAAATAGGAGTCTAGGCTCTGGGGGTTGTCTCGGAACCTCCAGTCCACAACGCGACTCGGACTGCCTCGCTGCAGGAAACAACTCCATTGTTCAATTTGGTGAACTGAGAGCTTGCCGACTCCTGCCATTCCTTCTCCCGACTTTCTTTGTATCGATTCACTGGGATCTCTCTCTCGATCTTCCATATCCCCCAACCTCGCCGCTCGTTTTTTTAATTTTATTTTTCCGTTTCTCAAACCCGCCCTTGTCACTCGGACCATCCATCACACCCCCAGCTGAACACCTCGATATTCGTCATCCGAGCCATATGCGAGTCAGGACCGCTCCGACCGAATCCTTCCCTTTTCTTCACTCCGATTGAGTGCTTACCAATATTGTGATTCCAGCGACCCTGCCTGATCGGGGGTCGTTCCACACCTTACGACAACCATGGTTGACCGCGTGGATTGCGCAGGCCTATACATTGACGACCGAGTGCGGTCGGAGAGATGGGTGCGCAGAAATTCTATCGATGCTTCAACAATATCGTCCGCGGGTTCCTTTGCAACCCCCGAAGAACCAGAGGCCCTACAGGCAGACGTGGAGCAGCTGTTGTTAGTATGCAAACAAGGTAGGTCCCGCACACTGCGCTGTGTTGGATGGTGTATTAATCACTCTTGTTCTTGCAGTCTATCTCTGCCACAATGGTTCCTCCTTTGCCGCCAAGCTAGCCGAGCTTACCGACCGGTCGGGCAGCGAGTGTGACCCGATTTTTGCATTTTTCGAGGTGGATTTTAGTGGAGAAGAATCGAACCTGGCTCGTCGAAAAGCCAGTCGTGCCTCGTGGGCAGACAACGCTCCTCCGTCACCGAGCTCCATCCACCGCGCGTTCACATTTTCAACACAGTCCGATGAAGCAAGGGGCTTGTCTCTTTTATCGGGTGTTTCGAACGACATCCAGGCCCAAGAGGGCCCGAATTTGGTCATCCCAATTGCTATTTTGCGTCTTCCTCCTACCGATGCGTTCAGCAACAATGCGGCTACCGGTCCTACCAGTCACCCAGATCCCCCAGGACCTCTCACGGTGGAGTACAAACAGATTGCCCGCTGTCTTGATGCCGGTGCTATGGATGTCTTGACTGCCCCGCTAGATCGGTCGCGGATTCAAGGGCTTGTGGTTCATGCCTACCGTACCCGGAAAGCGGCCCAGAGAGAGATGTCCCGATTTCTCGCACGAAGAAAGCAACGAAAGCTTTCTTGGGTTGGTGTGCATGATGAGCAGCCGTATTCTTATCTAAGAGAAGCCATGGTTTCAAAGCTCATGAAAGGAATTTGCAACCCAGAAGAAGTCATTCATGATGAATTCCAGGAGCTGGATCTCAATCTTGATCCCGCGCGTATCCCTTTCATCAAAGAGCAGGTAGGCAGTTGGAAATTCTGCGCTCATCAGTTTACCGAGGACGAACTGGTCTTTGGCGCTTGTGAGATGATACAGCATGCTTTCACCATGCCAGGACTGGACCCTTGGCGGTTGACCCCCGATGAATTGCAAACCTTCCTTCTCGCTTGCCGCGCCGCGTATAATTCCTTCGTGCTTTACCACAATTTCCGCCATGCGATTGATGTGCTGCAATCCGTCTTTTCCTTCCTACTACAAATTGGTGCGTTGCCTCCATATGAATCCACTGGTCAATCTCCTGTCCCTGAAACTCCCATCACCTCCCTTCTCACGCCATTCGACACCCTTACTCTCCTTATCTCAGCCATTGGTCATGATGTTGGCCACCCAGGCGTCAACAATTTCTTCCTTGTAAAACTCAACGCACCCCTTGCACAGCTCTACAACGACAATTCCGTCTTGGAGGCGTTCCACTGCGCCGCGTTTTCTCAAATTTTGCGTCGGCATTGGCCTGCGGCATTCAAGGACAATCAGCTGCGAAAGCTTCTGATCAGTTCCATCCTGGCCACTGACATGGGCGTGCACCAGAAGTTCATGCAGCGAATGGGCTCCTTCCAAGAACGGTTCTACGAAAACCACCGATCTGTTGATGGCTGGAAGCCACAAGATGTGGACATGTACAAGACTCTTATTTGTGGGTTATTGATTAAATGCGCCGATATCAGCAACGTGGCTCGACCCTGGAAAGTTGCAAAGAAGTGGACGCAGATACTGCAAGAGGAATTCGCCAACCAGGGTGAGATGGAAAGGGAGGTTGGAATGGAAACCGCCCTGTTTGGCGGGCCACCCGAATTAGGCAACATCTACAAATTGGCTACTGGTCAAATTGGATTCATGTCAATTTTTGCCCTGCCGCTCTTCGAAGGCATTTCCGACCTTCTGCCGCAGTTGCATTTCACTACAGACCATATCCGTCGCAATCAGGCACAGTGGCAAGAACTTTCTAACGAGGAGCTGAAGAAGCAAGGTCTTCCGATTGAAAAACGGCCCGAGATCACTGTTTCGCCTCGCTCCCACAGCCCCGAACCCCCTGAAAGGCCGCCCGTCGATTCAGGCGATGGCGCAGCGGATAGAGTCAAATATTCCATGAGTCCAGACTCGGGCGAGTTCAACGAAAACAATCTTGAACCGGTTGTGTCGCCCGATACCGCAGGTCCTCAGATTGAGATCACCGGAAGTCCCCTTGCGCTGGCGACTGCATCTCGGAAGTCTTCTAGCGCCATGCCGGACCTTTCTAGATTCTCTATTCCAGGAATGCCAGAGTCTACCCGTGGGTCTCTTACAACACAGCTACATCACCCTCCTTCAGAAACAAGCCCTGTTACCGATGATCCGGCTCTTCTAGCCGCCGTCTTGTATGCCAACTCCGCCTGCGGTGGTGGTTCTGCTGCAGGACCAGTGGAGCGTAATCATGCGTCTGGGGCTGCCGAGAGACTAAGCAACTCCCGCCAAGGTCTTCCACATGGTTCTCAACGCGGCTCCCAACGTCACCATATGCACAACAGTTCGTCTGCTCGAACGGGCTCAAATCGCAATAGTTGCACACGGACGCAAAGCATCTATAGCAACATCATGTCACCGAGATCTCCTGCAACTAATACCTCGAGCTATTTGGCTGTAGATAGCGGCGATGAAAAGCGAGGCTCTGGGGATAGTGCCGCGCCAAGTGATCTTGGAGGGCTGGACAACAATAGTACACGTCCGAGCACAGCGGACGTGTACCCTTCAAATTTATCGGAGCCCGCAGGCGGTTACAGCCCCGGTCGTAGCTCTATCATCGCTCGCGGTCAAACTCGATCCGCAGATGGTACCGGTAAAGACTTCTCTAGGCTGGGACCTCACGGAACCCGCAGCACGACCCATTCGACGATTACGGGTGAAAGCATCAAAAACGAACCTCCGCCAGTGGATGACTCTCAAGGTACCCGCAGACTTCCTAAGAAGAGGAGTCGGCTTCGACTTGCTTTCTGGAAACGTCGCAACCATTCGCATGAGGTCCGCGGTGAGACCTGATTTTTGCCATCCTGGGCTGGTGCTTTTTCGCTTTTGAAGCATCTCCAGCTGCGTATAATGCTGCCATGGTTCTATGAACATTTCACTTTGCAATGAGCCTTGAGACCACACTGGTGTTCCATGAATTCACGACTCGACCAGTCGAAGATGCCGGACTTTGGAATTTCGGTTTCCCACCGCATTGGTTCTCCTGGTCACGACTCTACGAAGTCGTTTACGATACCTTCTTACCTTCCGCTGGACGCATTGAATTTGTCACCGACACGGAAGCAAATACAAACCGTGTCTGGGCAATCACAGCATCAAGACAAAGATGTTGTATGTTTACCGCGATCTTCTCTCCCTTTGAGACTGAGAGTCACGTTTTATCACGTACTCCTCTCAATTGATACTGGCATCGGTATGTCCTACTACATCTGCCATCGGATTATTTGCGTCGGGCTCACCCACCTGCTGTGTGCTGACCACGGATATCTGTTTTCTTTTATCCTTACCTCTACACCTTCCTTCATCTCTCTTTTTTTTGTTTTTTTGTTTTTTTTTTTGCTCCGCCCTCGTGTGATGCTTGGGTGGTTCTTTTGTCCTAGAGTTCGGTGATAGGCCGGCGTACTATCTCTTACTGGAGTGGGCTTTCTTCTTTTCTCATCTGCACTTGCTCCTCTTGTGTCTCATTCTTTTTCTCTTTTTTTTTACATTGACTCTTGTTAGACTCTTCCGCTCTGCGCGATAATGAATGTGATGTGTACAGTGAGACTATCAATTTTGTTCTTGGGCTTGTAGCGATTGTAACCTATAGTTATATCTTCCTACCATCTACATGTAGTTCCAGCATCATGCCACCTGCAGCACGATCTAAAAATAGGTTTCCTATCAAAACCAATTAAACATAGACATAGATAGCAGGTTCAAGTTGATAACACCCAATACCTCGTCTCACTGACAATCCTCACAGCTCGCCTTATCCTGACTCTCCCCCTTCTCCTCTTTCTTTACCTCCTGCGCACCCCTCTCCTTATTTAAGGCCCGATCCGTATGTCCTAAATCCTTATTGGGAGCAATAACATTCCGCACAAGGGACTTGAGCGCTTTGACGTCTGCAGGACGGAAGATGAACGGTTAGATGAAATCGCACACATCAACAAGTCTCCCACGCAGCATTTAACGAATGCAGACTCCCAGAGACTCAACAAATAGAACAAAACCCCCCTGAAAAAAAAAAAAATTTTTACAAACCTACCAGGGAACCCTCCATCCCTCTTCCGATCCCACAAAATGACCTCCTGCGTCTTCATCTCCCCGTCATGCACCGCACCATGCCATATCGTCACCGTGAACACGCCACCAGTTTTAGGAACGAGGGCTACTTCGCCGAGGTCTGTGCTGAAAGTTGAGAGGAGTTCTTGAGCGAACTGTGATTTTATTTTTGTTAGCACACACGTTGATCTTCGTAATGGTCAGGTCAGTGAGTAGATTCTGTCTATGGTCATGTTGATGGTGATGATATATCAAGTATCACGAAACCCAATTTCAAAACCCAATCACACACCAACCCCGCCGGGAAAGATCCAACTACAAGGCAACATGATAGGAAAATAAGAAAGATAGCAACGTACATATGCAGCACGGAGCATCCAACGACACTGTGTGCAGAATTGGATTGAGATGCGGGGGAGATGGGCGTTCGCCAGTGCGATTTTGGCGCTGTTATCAGGGGTTAGGTCCAATGGGGTCGACTGGTGTGTAGATTCGGCCATGGTGGGTGTTGGGGGATTGATGACGATGCAAGTGGTGTGATTGGAGCGAGTAGATGAGGGGTTTACTGTGGTGTGTGTGGAGTGGTTTGGATGACGAATGACAGGGGTATATATTGTACAACATATACAGTTGGATAGATTGGAGTCCGTATTTCTGGAGACAGGAGATGTAGCATATTCAGTGATTTCCAGAACTGCCAAGTGGGATGGGGATGTGGATGATGTCAGCGGGGATCGGTGATTGGTAAATCTCAAGTACTTTCTTACAATTTTATATTACAGTATGGAGTAGTGGATTGGGGTAATAAATCTGCTGTACGTGTACATGATATACCAGAATGGTTGTTAAGTAAGAACCACCAATTTCCAATTTAAGCCATGCAAGGCCATATTCGGCCGAGGGCTGAACTCGACTACCGGGTTATCCCCAGCCAAGCAAATCGCAAGATGTGATTGCCGGAATTTGGGGCCGATTTACAATCGCAAATTCAATTAGATCGGTATGGTATTGGTCATGCGAATCTATGATACATGAATAGCAACTCTCACGCCCTGACTGACATAGAGGCTTTTTGAAGATGTGAGAATCCGTAAGAAAAGGATACATGGGAGAAAAAAAAAGAAGTAGAAAAGGCCGATCCCAAGCAAACGTAGCGAGAAGGGGGAATGGTGCAATTCAAAGAAGAAGAAAAGAAGAAGAATAAGAAGAAGAATAAGAAGAAGTGAGGCGCAGCAAGTGCATCGTCAAGTGCACTGTCTGCAAAGTCCTCGGACAAAGGGGACCGGAAGGGCGGAAAGGGCGACAAAGCACAACGAGACTCGTATGATCCCCGGAGGCGTGGAAGGGTTCGTGCAAGACCAGCAGACGATTCTTTCAAGCCGAAATTTTTGTCCGCGCGAGCAATCATAGTGCTTTGTTCGGGTCCAAGAGGGGTGATCGTCAAATGGGGCCCGGAATTAAGTAGAAGAGAAGAAGAAAAAGGAGAGCGAAATGTCATGGCGAAAAAGGTTCCCGTCGTGAGTGCATTACATGACGGTGCAGCAACCTCCCTGTTGCTGAGGAGCATAGGGATCTTCGCGCTTGTCGACCTAGGAAAATGGAGTTAGTTTTGGACATGGGCGCGCGCGATGAACCGATCGAAAAAGCCGGTCACATACCTGTCCCCATACGGATGGAACCATAAAGTCGCGAGTGTTGTTGCAGTAGTTGATGAGACTGTTAGAGCTGTTAGTTATCGGTTGTCTTGTGCAAGGACAGTTGGACGAACGAGAGAGCTGCCTCGGAGACCTTGACCCGTGGACGGTCCAGATCCTCCTTTAGACGACCATTGAGCTCGGTCAGTCGACGATATTTCAAATCGGCAACACTCTGCTTCTTGTTCTTGACATCGCCCCCGGATCGAAGTTCGTAGGGAGCCATCGTGACGGGTTGAACTGTGAAAGAAGCGCGAATGGAGAAAGGGGGGAGAGGGGGGTTTTGGATCGGCAGGTGTCCCAAGGGCGTAAGAATTAGGTTTGGGGGGGGGGCCGGTAATCAGGGGCCAAGACGCCGGACAAAGAAGGAAAAGAAAAAGAAGGTGAAGGAGTCGGGTTTCGAGTGTTCCAAGAGAGAGAATGGACAAATGAATGGGCTGTTTAGAGGGGATTTTCCTGAGGAGATCCCTGGGGGCAGGTCCGTGTGTTTCCCTTTTTTTCCTTACGCGTTACGTTTGGTAAATGTTATACTGGGGGGGGGGGAAATTATTCGCGGGAAAAGTACCCGGTACTTGGACCGGATCGGGGTACTGCTGCTGTTTTATAGAGTGGAGACAATGCACAACTTGTACCCGGTACTTCCTCTTCGAACTCTGATTTTTCTTTATGATGAACTTCAGTTTCGGGGTCGGAATGAGATAGTTGGGATCAAAATATTAATAGCTGACTCGGGATATTTTAGTTGACCAATAATACATCTGAATCACAATGCACAGTAAGCAAATATGACACATCCTCGTAGCTGCATCTGCCCATGTACTTTTGAGGTTCTGCCTCAGGCCACAGCACGTGATAACAATCGCTTAACGCGAAGTGGGAACATTGGCGGTATCCAATTTTTGCTCCGGCCTCAACACGCACACTGTGAATCTTCCCCTCGTTATCGGGTATTCGCGTGGCAGCATCTCTAATCGCATTCTTACCAGCTGCCCGTGTGTGTCGCTGGCTATACTCATCTTTTTTTTTTCCAATTTTTTAATTTCTTATCAGTCAGCTTTGATCCTTTTCCAAGGGGCATCCACCCATCATGCCGCCCCCTCCGCATATTAAGCCTGAGAATGTCCTCAAGGTAAGCGTCGCCGTCGCCGTCGCCGCGAAACACAACATGGATTGGTTGCTAATCACTACATCTCCAACAGAGGGCCCAGGAACTTATCGCCGTCGGCCAGGCTGCCGCCGCCTTGACTGTCCTCCACGAACATGTCACCTCCAAGCGCACCCGTAGCAGCCCCATCGCCTCCCTCGAGCCGGTGATGCTCCTGTTTGTTGAGCTGTCCGTTGACCTTCGCAAGGGCAAGGCCGCCAAGGATGGTCTTTATCAGTACAAGAACATTGCCCAGAACACTAATGTCGGCACTATCGAGGTTCGTGTTGATCACCTTCGGTAAAAAAATTTTTTTTGAGACTTGTCACTAATCTAGGATTCTTTCATCTCTGTAGATTGTTCTTAAGAAGTTCATCGAACTCGCCGAGCAAAAGGTTACCGAGGCTCAGGCCAAGGCCGACGAGATTCAGTCGACCCTCGAGTCTGCCGCTCCTTCCTCCAACGTTGAAGATTTGGAGGCCATCGAAACCCCCGAGACCATCCTCCTTGCTACTGTCTCCGGTGAGCAGTCTCGCGACCGTACCGACCGCGCCGTTGTTACCCCTTGGCTCAAATTCCTGTGGGAGACCTACCGCACCGTTCTCGAGATCCTGAAGAACAATGCCCGTCTTGAGGTCATGTACCAGTCGACTGCCCTCCAGGCCTTCAAGTTCTGCCAGAAGTACGCCCGCAAGACCGAGTTCCGTCGTCTGTGTGAGCTTCTGCGCAACCACGTTCAGAATGCCGCCAAGTACTCCTCGCAGATGCACGCCATCAACCTGAGCGACGCTGACACCCTGCAGCGTCATCTCGACACTCGTTTCCAGCAGTTGAACGTTGCTGTTGAGTTGGAGCTGTGGCAGGAGGCTTTCCGCAGCATTGAGGACATCCACACTCTGTTGAACCTCAGCAAGCGCCCCGCCAAGAACATCATGATGGCCAACTACTACGAGAAGCTCGCCCGCATTTTCCTGGTCAGCGAGAACTACCTCTTCCACGCCGCCGCTTACAACCGCTATTACAATCTTCTCCGTCTTTCTTCCGTAGCCCTGGCTAGCGGCCAGAGCTCCAAGAAGGATAACCCATCGGTCACCGAGCTCGAGATGACCAAGGCCGCGTCCTTCGTCCTTCTCTCCGCTCTGTCCATCCCCGTTATCAGCACTTCTCGCTCCCGCGGCGCTTTGGTTGATGTGGATGAAGCTCGCAAGAACAAGAACACCCGTCTCACTAACCTTCTCGGCATGGCCACCTCGCCCACCCGTACTGTGCTCTTCCGCGATGCTCTGAACAAGGGTCTGCTCCGCCGTGTGCGTCCCGAAATCCGCGAGTTGTACAACATTCTCGAGGTTGACTTCCACCCTCTGTCCATCTGCAAGAAAATTACTCCCATTCTCAAGCAGATTGGTGACGACCCCGAGATGGAGAAGTACGTTGTGCCTCTGCAGCAGGTCATTCTCACCCGTCTGTTCCAGCAGCTGTCCCAGGTTTACGAGTCCGTTGAGCTCAAGTTTGTCTACGAGCTTGCCCAGTTCCCCGCTCCCTTCCAGATCACCCCCGCCATGATCGAGAAGTTCATCATGAACGGTTGCAAGAAGGGTGATCTCGCTATTCGCGTTGACCACATCTCCGGAGTCTTGACCTTCGACTCCGATGTCTTCTCTTCTGCCAAGGCTGCCCACGCCGGCAGCGGTGCTGGCTCCGCCGAGAGTGAGGTTGGCTCTGTCCAGCGTCTGCAGCACACTCCCGCCGAGATTGCCCGTTTCCAGGTCGCCCGTCTCGCCAAGACTCTCCACGTTGCCTGCATGTACGTTGATCCCTCCTACAGCCAGGCTCGCCTTCAGGCCAAGCAGACTGCTCAGGCCCGCGCCATTGCCGGTGCCACCCAGGAGCATGAGCAGACCCTTGCCCGTCGCGTTCTTATCGACAAGAAGAAGGAAGCCGCTACCGATGCCCTGCAGCGCAAGCAGCGTGAGGAGGAGACTCGCAAGCGTGTCCGTGCTCAGCAGCTCCAGGATGCCGAGAAGCAGCGCCTGGCGGATGAGCAGCGTGACCGGGAGCTCAAGCGTATCAAGGATGAGCAAGACCGAATTCGCCAGGAGGAGCTCAAGAAGCAGCTCGAGGAGCTCAAGACTGGTGTTAAGGGTATTGACGTCAGCGAGATCGACCTTGACGAGCTTGATGCCAACCGCCTGCGTGCTTTGAAGCTGGCTCAGCTCGAGAAGGAGAAGAATGAGCTGAATGACCGTATCCGCACCACTGCTAAGCGTATCGACCACTTGGAGCGTGCCTTCCGTCGCGAGGAACTGAAGCACATCTCCGCCGATTACGATGCTCAGAAGAAGCTCGACAAGGATCTTTACGAGAAGCAAGTTGCCGAGGAGCAGCGCGAGGCCAAGGAGAAGCACGCCGAGGCTGTTGCCCTCAAGCACCGTCTGGGTCGTCTCGTTCCTCAGTTCAGCAACTTCCGCAGAGAAGTTTCCGAGAAGCGCCACGAGGAGTTCGAAAAGCGTCGCAAGGCCGCCGAGCGCGAGTTCGAGGCTAAGAAGAAGCAGCGTGTCAAGGAGGTCCAGGAGCGCCGCCGCCGTGAGAAGCAAGAGCGCGAGGAAGAGGAGGCTCGTCGCAAGGAGGAGCAGGAGCGTGCTGAGCGCGAGGAGCAGGAACGCGTCGCCCGCGAGGAGGAGCGCCGCCGTATCTTGATTGAGGAGAAGGCCAAGCGCGATGAACAGCGATCGTCAGTATTCCCTTGCTCTAGTTGCACCTCAAACGTTGATATTAACTTGACATTCAGTAAAATGGACGAGACCGCCCTCAAGCAGCAACAGAGAGAGGCCGAAGCCGAAGCCCGCCGCGCGGCTCGCAAGGGTGGATACGAAGAGCCATTCGAACGAACCGCGCCCCGTCTCAATATCGCTGCACGCACTGGAGCCGCCCCCTCGTCCTGGAGAGAACGTCAAGCAGCCAAGGAAGCCAGTGGTGTCCCCGCCGAACCCGTTCGCGCTCCCGTTCGCGCCCCGGTCCGCGATGAGCCCGCCCCTCTCCGCAAGGGTGGATACGTTCCTCCCCACCTGCGCCCCGGTGCCTCCGCCAGCGCTGGATCCGCCCCCCCTCCACCTGCCCCCCACGAGCCCCGTGAAACCCGCGAGGCTCTGCCCCGTGAGGCTCCTACCGAGCGCTGGGCGCCTCGTCAACCCCGTGAATCCTCTTCCCAGTCTCCTGCTCCCGCTTCGGAATCCAAGCCCGCCGCCGGTGGCAAGTGGGTCCCCAAATGGAAGCAGCAGCAGCAGTAAACGACCGAGCTACGACTTTCCCGTTAAAAAGTGTACCCAAGCTCATTTCTTTTTGGCGCTATTTTCATGACCCTTCTGCATATTTCGTGTATCATTCACCCATGTTCACCCTGTCACTTGTTAATGGGGGCCACAGTTCTGTCTTTCAGCTCGCTCGGAATATGATATAATCTTTTCCTAGTTTTTTTGGTACTATTTGGTGGTTCTATAGACGTTTTAGACAATTCTTAAGAATTTTTAACATGGAGAATGACGGAATTGAGTGGATCTTCACCTTGAAGGACCATTAGGCCCCGCACATGCACAGGTTGCATACAAGCATGCATATCGGAGCGGGTACTTTTCTTTAAAGGTTTCGAGCTAGTAGACCAAGACTGAATCTTTTAAACAAATTGCATTGGATGGTATCACAATTTCAAGTTTACAAGCATGTAACCTCGAAAGCTCTCTATGAACAACTAGGACGAGAAGACAAGGAAGATGGCCTAGTAAACATCAACATGGATATCTGACAAAAGAGTAGAAAAGGTACATGAAAGAAAAGATAGCAGTCTATGATCCTGACCCGAGGAAACAGAAACACAGTCGCAAAAATGATCAAGTCTTGAACATCAACATCGAACTTATGCAGCGGCGACTTCAGGATTAGCTCCAAACAGCTTCTCCCTCCATTCCCCGCAGACAGCTTCAAATCCACTGACTACATCGCCGCAGACCTTCCCAGCCTCTCGGTCTTTGAGCCGACGGTCCCACTCACCGCGCTCGATCCATCGCGATCCCTCTTCGCGACTATCTTCTTCTCGCCGAATATCAGCGACGAGTTCTCGCGCAGAGCGTAACCGACGGGACGCTGTTGAAGTCAATTGTCTCGACTCATAGAGGGTGTCGCTTAAGCCGCGAAGTGTGTGTGTGATCTCTGCGGTTTGCGAAATGAGGGCTTGGAGAGAGGCCAGGGGGTCTTGTGCGGATGACTGAGGGGTTGTTGATCGAGAGTCTTGTTGTTCTGAGAAGGGGTAAGGGAGATTTGGCAACAATCCTTCGTCGATGAGGGGCATGAGAGAGTCGATGGCATCGTCGGAAAGGAGAGGGAATGGAGAGAAGAGGAGTGGGTGGACGAGGGATTGGAGGGCGCGGGTTTGGTGGGTGAGATGTGATGTGATTGAGGAATGAGCGGTGATAAGTCTGCGATTAGAGATAAGCAATCAGGGTCGGTGAAATTGTGTTAAGCCTGGAGAATTTGAACTTGCCTCATAGCACTGTTCTCAATCCCACTTTGTCCACCAAGATCTTTCAATGACTCGACCGTTCGCTGAATGACACGGTCACTTTCGCTTCCATTATTCTCTATACCCCGTCGAGCGAGACTCTCAATCTCAGCCAATTGGTTTTCCAAGGCGGGAGAGATATCCGCCTCTTCCAGATCGGAATCAGGCCCATAATCAGAGCCATCATATTGTGACTCCTGCCGGCGGTGCTGCCGCAAATGGGTTGCACGGTGTTTATTCCTTGACAGATTGTGCGAATCTCTTGCTGGTGAGAGGGAAGGTGACCGGGAGCGCACGCTGTGCGCTGATTGCATATATATCTCTTCTCCATCACTGTGACCCATTTGCTGTGATCCCGCACGACTAATGTCCTGGCCTGACGCATATCCATATCCATCTTCCTCTTCTCCCCATGCATCTGCTAGCTCATCGGCTAGGTTTCCCAGTCCTCCACCGCCCGTATCAACGGTGCCAGAGAAGTCTCCGGATTCTCTGCGGGACCCACTCATGGCGTTAGAGTTACGGCGGGACGCGATGGGAGACGGTGGTGCAGATAATCGGGGTATCCGCGGCGACCGAGGGCTTTCAAGTGAAAACGAATTCCCAGATGTTCCAGGGGAGATAGGTGAGTCGTCTGGGGCTGATGGGTAGCGGTGTGAGAGTTTCAGGGGAGATGGAGGGAGGGGCATTGAATCGTTCGGAGGTATCACACGGGACCTCCTGGGTTGGTGGATGCTTTTATTTGGGAAACTGAGAGAGCTCAAGAAGGGCAACTCAGCCAGAGAAAAGGAACGAGCAGTTGTAGTCCAGCTGCAGACGAGGAACAGCTGTTGATTAGGACGTTCAACTGGACGTTTCGATAGCTCTAGATCCGACTCAATGTTGTAGTATAGCGCTGTCTCCAAGGAACAAAGACCAGGCTGATATCAATTGATATAAAAGCACACGTTAAACGACAGACTTCTCAACAAAAGAGTAACTGCATCATTAGAATGCAGGAGGGGTGCATCAACAACTCAATTTCAACCTTCACCGCCGACTGATATTCGTCACCGCCCGGCATAAAAAGAACAAGAGCGTCAAACCCCACATTATCATTCTCACATTAACCATGTCAAGATGAGTTCTATTGAACGCATGTCCCCATTGGACCTGCTAGACCTTAATTTGACCAATCTTGACCCCCTTACTGAGAACTATGATCTCGGCTTCTACTTGAACTACTTGAACAAATGGCCTTCGTTGTTCAGCACCGTCAAGGACCATGATGCTGGCATTGTAGGTTATAGTATGTTTCTAGTCCTAACATGGCACAATCTCCTCAGTTCCCATGAGATCTAGCTGATGTGTTCCTTTAGTTATGGGAAAACTCGAAGAGCAACACCCTGCAATGCGCCACTCTGAGCACTACACTCCATGGCACGGACACATCACAGTCTTGACCGTCGCCCCAGCCTGGCGTCGTCTCGGATTTGCACGCAGATTGACTGAGCAGCTCGAGCGGGGATCTGACAGTAAAGATGCCTGGTTTGTGGATCTCTACGTTCGCGCCGGAAATAAAGTCGCATATGATATGTACAAAGGAATGGGGTAAGTGAAGCCTATGGATATGTGAACTTTGAATTGATTATTGACTTATGTATTGACAGATACTCTGTCTTCCGGCGGGTGGTTAATTATTATAGCGATGATCCATCGGGGATGTCGGAGACTGGAGAAGATGCGTTCGATATGCGTAAGCCATGCAGTCGAGATAAGAAGCTTGAGCATGTGCGAGAAAATGGTGAGAATTTCCCTGTCGGACCGGAGGATGTGATGTAAAAATGCCCCTCTTTTTATGGTCTTTATCGAAGTGGCTATGTATGACTTTGTCTTCTGTCTCTCTCGCCTTTTTCTTCCAGGGATTCATGGCATCGAGGGCCTAAATAGGACTGGGGGTTTTGTGGACAAAATTGTTGAACAGAATCAGATGTATTATAAGTTTTTTTTTACCATTTCCCGTCCAAGTTAAGATGAAGTGCGCCGTGTCTCCCACTGGATTGAGAGAAACAGTATGAGTTGCAGGGAGGTAGTACCATATGCAGAATGACCAAAATGTGAAGCTGATGGTTGGTTTCGTCGTTTCAGCATTCCCCTGCCAAGAAATAACTGGAACAAGACTGAATCCTCTGTGGGGTGATGATGGGTGTATTTGCAAGAAATTTCAGCAGCTAACAGCCAAGGCTAAAGCTCTGACATGGAAATTGGGATCGAGGCGCAGGAATCTGACACAGGTCACAAGAACCGCAGAGACAATGAGACAGCAAGCGGTGAGAAGCTGAGCCCCGAGGACTTTGTTTGTATCAGCTAGAATTGCACCACCAATTGGAGTAGCGATCAGTGGGCCGATGAAAGTGACCACAAAAACCATGCCCAGGTTTTGCACGTCCGGAGTTATACTCGCCATGACCATAGGCGGCAGAGACACAACCCCACCCAAGACGAAGCTGTAGAAGACGGCAAAGATGATGAGGCCAGGCACGATGTGAAAACGGATCCAGATCAATGCGAGGACGGTAGTGATAGGCGCGGCAGGCGTGAGCACATTCAAAGGGCCAAGCTTTTCAGCGAGGAAGTTTGGCACAATACGGCCAAGGTTTGAGGCGGCTTTTAGTATAGAGAGTAGGTAGAATCCCAGGTTGGAGTCTACAATGCCTGCCTCTATTGCATAAGACGTCACATAGAAAAGCAAGTTGCAGAAACCCAAGAAACCCATGAACATGACAATGGTGAATGTAGTACAGGCCAGCTTCTCTAGGGCTTTCAGGGCAGACGACCAGTAGAGCTTACACTTCACCTTTGGCTGGATACGCAAGCGCATGATGCCAATTGAGATGCAAATGAAGCCAAAGCAGACGAATCCAAGTGCTCGGGTAGCCTAGGCAACACTGACCTTCTGCAACTGATCGAACAGGATTGGGTAGATCACACCACAGATCCTGCTGCCACTGGCAACCAAGCCGTTGGTAAGGCCTCTCTTGCAGCGGGAGTACTGTGACAGGATGGCAACGAAGGGCACAAAAAGAAAGCCTGCTACGAGTCCAATGCAGACAAGAGTCAGTTGTTGGTAATTTGTGGCAAGGCTGGTGATCATCCAGCCAAAGGGCAGCAGGAATGCAACAAATATGATCAGGGATGGAAGGTTACCAGTGTCAAACAGTGGACCTGTTATGACTTCAACCATTATCAGAAGGAAAGACTGCAACGATCCAACCCCAGGAATGGTTTATAATGAAGTACTAACGAGCAACTCTAGTTCGTAATAGGTTTTGATGTGCATCCCAGGTATTGATAAGGACCCTGTTTAGCATATTAGCAATAGGATTCTTATGCTGAAGAACATGTACTAGCCATGGATTGATAAATCGAACGAATAAGACTAATGCTTGGAGCCATGTTGCGGACCTGTATCGAACGTTAACTAAGGCTCTTTCTCCGGACAAGGTGATATGTAGGAATTGAATCGTTCCTCGCGAGTGGCTGGGGAACCAGCGAGGACCTTTTGCTCTATATCCAAGTTAGTCGACCCCATGTCGTTTCATGTATCGGTCCAACATATGCCCCCTCACGGGTGAGAGCGCAGTATAGCAGCCTGATTAAAAAAAAAGTCTTAGCCGTGCGATGATGGAAATGCAAGATGATGGAAACCGCAAAGGATACACGACATTTACGTGGCGTATAAACCCCCAACGAAGCTGAGCTTACCTGGCGCTTTCCGAGGTTGGCCATTCGGCCATTCGAGAGATAAGATGAGGGTTGATGTGACAATTGACTGGGCTTTTTCTAGAACAAGACATGGAGTTAGTGTACTTTGACTTGAGTATGTTGTGTGAATACCTAAATGAATCGAAATAACCGACTTTACTCTTATTTTATCAACCCTTTTGAAGAAAAATCTTTGCTTACTGACGGCAAATTGGTTGCCCAGGTGCTGAAACTGACCTAGTCATCGTGAGTAAGATCCATAAGCCAAGGTAGATGTAACATTGAGAATCGCCGAATCTGCTTTTCCGTCAAGAGAGAATGTTCCTAGTACAGGCATCAGTGGGACATGCTCGTACTGAGGGCATGGAAGTGTGCATATCAACTTGTCTGCTGCAAAAAATCTTGTCAATTCAATGCATCTTTGTCGAACTCGGGGCTTCAATTACACATGGAAAGACACCAGGAATGATATGAGGCATGTGAAAAGTCCGAAGACCATTGAAATACCAACAATTCTCATGTGCTTTAAATGCGCTATAACTGCATCTTCTACCATGTTGAAGTATGTATTTCCAAGAAGATAAACTGTTCAAATTATTTTTGGATATGTTTTTTTCCGTTCTAGATTCATGTACAAAGCCTCATTGGTGTCCATGTTTCATCAAGGACATCCAAGTCTCTTTTTTTTTCGACGGTTCTTCGAATCCCAGAACTCCAAACGCTATGCTGAAACCCAAAGAAAAGCAAAAGATGGAAAAGAGCCTCCGTGGAGAGCGGTTGGCACCGTTTTGACCACTACAACAGCTCCTCGCATGTCCAATCCTCATACCTAGAGTCGAGCATAGTTAGATCTCGCGCGCCATTCATTTTTGAACAGAGAATTGCTTACCATCCATCGGGCAGGTATCGGCGAATGATCAGGGGGATCTTCTTCTGATTCAATTCCATCATAGCGATCTGCAGGGGATCGGTTTCACCCTCGAGGTCGACAAGAACGGGGGCGTTCATACTATGCCAAATGTCAGCAAGCTTCAGCCAACAGAATGTATGCGCATTCGTTTGTATCAAGAGCAACAGACCTGATTTGCAGGGCACGGGTACCGAGAACACGCGCGCGCTCGTACTTGGTCAAGTACGGGGTGGTGGTGCGCTGATCGTTGGGTACTTTCTTCTCGCGCGACTGCTCCATCACTTTTCCTGCGTATCCTGCATTGGGGTCGCCAGAAACCACGACATTGTCGCCGTTGGTGGTGGGGTAATCTTCTCCCTCAATCCCGTCTTCGACCTCGAGGCCTTCATGTTCCTCCGGCTCCTCATCAAACACATCCTCGCCGGGCTCGTAGTCGAAGCTGCGCACACCACATTGTTAGAAAATAGGGCTATTAAAGTGCATGCGAACACATTTGGAGGCTGTCTGGAGGCAAAATGGAAGCAAAGTTCATTTGCGCCTGATTCCCGGGCAAACTGGTGAAGGGAGGTAGCTTACGTCTCTTCGACGTCGTCGTCGTGGCCGTAGTCAGACATAATGACAGTTAAACCTTATAAAAGGAGCGAAGTTCTTGTAGACCGAAGCGAGTGATGAAAGACCCAGAGGTATGAGAGACAAGTCGGGGGGGCTCGAGGTGGGATTTGATGCTAAAAATCCTGGGAGCGGAAAAACTTCCTCTGCCTTGGCCGTCACCGCCTTTCTGGCAAAAAATAAAATTATCAGTTCGACATTCACGTCCAAACTTCCTTGTGCCCTGAGATACTTTCTCTTTGTCAGTCCTCCCTTTCAGGGCTTTTCATGATGGCCATGAAACGAAAGGTCTCATCAGAGGGGCTCATAACCCCTAAACGACACCAGAAGCAGAGCGTCCTAGACAATTCCGGTTAGTTTACGTCCTCGGTATATGTTTTTTGACAAAGTGATCCAATTGCTGACATTTCTACAGACTTGATCTATGAGGAAAATCACTCTGACGCCGAGTACTCAGATCCTGGAACTCCAAGCTTAATGAGTGAAGACATGGACGGATCTCCAATGACCCCATTCTCGGCCACCTCTTCCCGCCGTGACCGATTCCCATCCGAGTTCAAAACCCTACGTTGCCCATTCGAAGGGTGCGACAAGGCCTTCAATCGTCCGGCTCGACTCAAGGAGCATATTCGATCACACAACAACGAAAGAATCTTCAAGTGTGAGGCCGAGGGCTGTGATAAGACATTCTTGCGCATTTCTCACCTTCAACATCATGTCAAGAGTGCACATACGGGTGTTCGAGACTACGTTTGCGACTACCCGGGTTGTAATAAGAGCTTTGTGAACGGGTCACGGCTTCGCCGGCATGTCGCTACACACGATGGACATGATACGTATCGATGTACCGACTACCCACCTTGCCTCCAGACATTCCGGAAGCACTCGACGCTACAGAAACACATCATGGTTGTTCACTTGAACCATAAGCCATTTCCATGTACTTATGTGGACCCAATTACCAAAGAGAAATGCGGGATGGCTTTTGACAAGGCTGGTAACCTGCGGACACACCAGAGCAGGGTCCATGCCGAGAAGCGATTCACTTGTGCAGAATGTGCCGAACAGATGGAAGCCCAGTCATCAGAAACGGCCGACGACAGCGCAAAACAGGACGTATCCTTCCCCACGTATGCCAGTCTACAAAATCACATTCGGATTATTCACCCTCCCTCATGTCCCCAGTGTCCGTTGGTTTGTTCCACAGCACGAGGGTTGCGACGCCACCTCGAGATAGCCCACGGCAATGTCACTCTTGAAGAGCGAAAGATATTCCCGTGCTCTTTCCCCGGATGCGGACGCAGCTTCACCAAGCAAGGCAACCTGACCGTCCACGTTCGCACAGTACACGACGGCGAAAAACGGTTTGTCTGCGGTGAAACAGATCTCTCCAAATCCACCAGGCTGGATGGATGGGATGGCGTCGGCTGTGGCAAGCGCTACGGAAACAAGGTGACCCTCGAAGACCACATCCGCGTTGCACACCTGGGTCTTCCGAATGCCAGGCAACGGCGCCAAGAAAAGGCGAGCCTAAAATCGACGCAGAATTCTGTTTCCACTCTTTCCGCTCTCACAGGCCAAGGCTACGCCGAGGAAACAGGACGACAGATCGCATGCTTTTACCCTGAGACGTGCCCACATCGTTTCCATCGCAACTACGATTTGTGGGTACACATGACCACCAAACACAGCTGCACCGAGGACGAGGTCCAGAACCTCTTTATGCAGCGTGCATTGCTTAGCGATGAGTCTACCCCTGGAGTTAACTCGCTGGGAATCTACGGTCTTGGATATGATCAGGATGGCCCGTCTTACTACCAACAATCCTATGCAGGAGGAGACCACTCCTCGGATGTTGCTTTTGGCTCACAGTCGAATGAGTCATCTTATCTCCCTAGTCAACCGGGCTTGGATTCTGATTACTTGATGCAAGACGATTTCCCAATGAGTGCGGCGGCTCTTTGATACCGGACTTTGATCCTATGATACCCAGCCATAACCAAACGGCCCTGGTTGACCCTGTAATTGTTTACCATGTGATGTTCATAGTGACGGTTGGCATTTCTACGATGTTACGATTATCTAGCGTTCTTGATGCGTTTGTATGCATGGACTTTTCTTCCAAGAAAGTCCCTGTTCCTCAATAGCGTGTTGGCTTCGTGTATATGTGTGGTTAACTTGACAAAGTCAAATCTCGGAGGACCAGCTTCAAAATGAATCCAACTTCACTAGCGATCGTCGATCTAGCCTTACGACGCCGTACTATCCGGCTTGTCGACCAGAGATGCCCTTGTCTTCTTATGGCCCGCTTGTTGATTGCCAATGGTGGAAAATATAACATGAGATATCTTGGACTGAAGAAAACTGCATCTTGTGAAATCTTTGTGCATCCTAGATCAGCCAAGGCTTCTTTCTAGCTCTTGGCGTGACTGTGTATGAATAGATGCGATCTTCCATTCCCATCCATCTTTTATCAACATTCCTTCTCTCTTCGTAGTATCTCCTCCTCCGCCTTTTCATTTCTTATTCTCCGCTACAGAAACTACCAGAGTGATCATTGGATTACTCACTGTTGAACCCGACGAACTGCGCCAGCCAATCATCCTCATACTCCCCAACCCACAGCCCCTCCTTCATCAGATCAACCAACCCCCAGGGAATATGTCTAGCATGGTCCTGAAAAGGAGGTGACCGAAGTGCCAGCACGCGGCCATCCTTCTCTTCTCCCCAGACAAGGGTCTGCAGGGGGTAGTCCCAAGCAATGGCGTGGTCATCCCGGCACCACAGCGAACGACAGATCCTCAACCGCTGTTCGGCCCAGTAGTTCCGCGCAATCTGACTCCGGATTTCTTCCGGGCAGAGCTCGTGTACCTCGATCTCGCTTTCCAGGAAGGGAAACAGTGGCGGCCATTCGATAGGGTCCCAGGGGAATGACGGCAAGCCAGTGAGGTGCTTGCAGAACTCCACTTGCACAGCGTTCGCCACATCAACGCCGTAGATGGTAAACAGCCGGACGATGTCGCAGAACAGATGTACTGCTGGAAAGCCGCGGGCGAGAGCTAGCCATTGGCTGATGCGCACTACTGTGATCATGATTTGGTCGTCATAGTGCTCGAGGTCGGTGATGCATGCGAGCTCGATGCCCGGTTGGGTTGAGACCAGAACTTTTGGTAGTTGGGGGCTTTCTGGGGGTAGGAATCCAAGGTTTTGAGCGGCTTGTCGATCATTGTCAATGATTGATTGCTTTGCAGATCGGGCTTCCTTGTCGTACTGTGCTGCGACGGGTGGCCAGCGCTCCCAGTACAATGTTCCTTTACATGCTTGCAGGCGGTATTCTCTGAGCAGTTTCGTTCCCTTTTGCTGTTGATCCCAGACGGGACGGGGGTCGTAGATAGTGTCTAGAGACGGTAAGCAAGTCAGCTCCTTTGCTGGAAAATACATGGAAAGTTTGCCAACAATTCTTGCGCCGATTCCACGCTGCCTCATAGAGATCCTTCTTTAAAGTAGCAATGGATTCTTTCGAGGCCATGAAGCCATTGTCCATCTCCAGAGCAGTCTCAATGCGGTCGGTAATCCAGTAGAACGGCTTGGCTGTATTCCGTAGAGGTTCCACCAAGTCCCTCAGCATTCGCAGCTCGCGAGAGAATAGGGATTCGTCGCCTTCTCTGCACCGTTCTCCATCCCAGGACGGCGGGAGTTGAGGCGCAAAGGTCGCACCGCACTTGAAATCCTTTGGCTCGCGATTGATGTTCCGAATTCGGTTCACAAACATTGCTCGGTGTCTGTGTTCGTTGAAATATTCTGGAATGTTGTTCAGGGATTGCTGAAGCTTAGCCACTTCTTCCAATGGACCAAACAGCGAGTAAAGAAGATGGGCAAAAGATCCTGGAAGAGTGTTCGTTTTCCACCCAGGAAGATAGGAAGCTATCATGTCCGGGAAATCGTTCAGGTTGAAGCCAAGGACGAAATATGAGACTTCCTCCCGCAGAACATCGAGTTTTCCACCCTGATCAGCTCTCCACTGCAGGAGTCGTGACAGGTGCTCTTCAGATGAAAGGTCGGAAGATTTGTGAAAGAATGCAGGGGGTGATCTCGATTCATAGTTCTCATGCAGATCCAAGGCAGCGAGAAGGTGTGGTAGGTTTCCATCATCTTTAGCTTGGGCTTCCTGTTGTGGACATGTGGGTCTATGCATCATGACCGATGATCGTTCCTAGGGACGGGACGATCTCAATGCTCTTGCTCCCGGGTAAGGTCCTAGAAAAATTAGTCGAGGGTCAGAAAAAGAGGAATCGTAGCGATTGGCTATGAAGAGGGAACGATGTGCGTGCGAAGTCTCCGCTGGTTGAACCACAGCAACCACAGCAGGTGACCGGGAAACCAAAAGATATTTGAAGGATCTCAGATCCCTACCGTAGTCCCTTCTAGTAGTCTCATATCTCCTCACTTCTACGGTGCTTGCCCACCTTTCAATTGCTCTCTGTTCTAGGATCCCACGAAGGCAGTGGACAAAGTAAACCCTGAACCTGAATAGCTTCACTGACATCATCTGATCTGGGACCAACCAAAAGAACCGTCGCATCACTTAAATTTTTTTTGTTTTCCCCCAACAGGCATAGACGGTGATCTCCTACCTTGGAACCCCACACGTTCAACGGAGAGTGGGGACAGTTCAAACCGAACATCTGGATGATCTAGTTCATTCGTTTAGACTTATGACGCGTTCGGATCTCCATGGGGCCACGCTGATCCTTTGCTGCATGAAAATCCTGGATCCATTTGATCTATGCCAAGACTGCGACCGACTACTATAGGCCTTGTCCGGCGGACGAAGGAATAGATTACTTCTCCTCACCACCGTGCACACTACCTACCCTGGTGGTATTGCAAAGTCATGTGAGCAAAGATTGCGGCTGGATTGCCTTCATGCAGGAGTTTCTTTTTTTTTCTTTTTTTTTTTTAAAAAAAAAAAGGGCCCGTGTGGGAATGTGTGAACGCTCATCCGGATCCCGGGTTAAACCAGAAACAGGGGGAATCAGATTGGTCACTAAATTGTAGGGGTAAGTCCTCCGTCTAGAATCGATTCACACGGGGAACCCCAACCCGGGTTCGCCGGCGTTGAAAGGATCTGTATTCAAGCGGACAGATGCCAGCGTATCTGCGACTCCCGAGAGAGGAACTGCAGAAAAGATGCCAAGCCTATCTATCCTATATTCAACTTGCAGTCCTGTTGAAATTCAATGGGAATTAGAGCCTGGGCCACAATGAGAATAGAATTATTTGTTTTTTTTTAGGGGGAGGGAAAAGGAGATATCCTTGGGACTGGTTGTATAACTCAGGGGAATCACAATACCTTATTACTCGGTTGCCTTCGAATAGACAAGACATCCAACTATAATTATCCACTTTTGCATATTGCTAGTCTACTTGGAGTCCGGTTGTCTCTCTACCGAGAATCCAAGAGGGTCCGGGATGATACCAATCAAAAAGCCTTGGGTTTCATTGCAAAGGGAAATAAAAAAAAAGGAAATAAAACAGTCGAAGTTGGAATCCAATTTTTTTTTTTTATTGAAAGTGTCACACAAGAGAATGATACCCAAAATCGAACAAGGGACGAAGTACTCCGTAGTCCGTTCCAAATCTCGTGGTGTGGAATGTTTCGTCTATCGGACTTGCCCCAAATGACCCCGTACGGAGTAATTCTGATTCTCTCTCGTCTCTCCAAACCTCCTATTATTCTAATTTATCCCCTCTTTCTCTCGTTGGTTTCTGAAAAAGAAAAAGACCCAAAAAAAAAAGGGATTAATTTCAAACCCCAAGGATCGTTTTAATCCCGGTGATTAGCGAAGACGGATCCAGGTTGGAACGTCATCTGCCTTGGCAGAGAAGCTCAATTTCCCTTCCTCTAACTCAGCCATTCGTTCTCATTCTTATTCTTCTTCACCTTGTGTGGATTTTTATTTTTTTTTATGGATTAATCTTTCATACCGAATTTGGTCCAGGCGCAGTCGCTATTTGACAGTCTCTCATTCAGCCCAAGTTGACCTGCCTCGGACAGTTTCCTTTTAAATCCTACCACGCTCCAGTTTCCTGCCCGACTTCCCAAGACGTGTTACAGTTGAATTCAGTGAGGGGGAATACGTAAGGGAACCCACGGTGGTTCTTGTCTGGCATATCACGTTCCGGCGTCATGGGTCGTTCGCGTGGTAAGTCGATCCTCTCCGGGTATGCCGGGAAGTGCACTGGAACCCCGTTATTGACTCTCCCTTGCGTTGAACTAGTTCTCTCATTTATTTCCAGTTTGGGGGGATCGAAGCACAATGCCACTGCTAAAGAAAATAAAAAGTCGTCGAGCGACGTGACCCTAGTGGCCAACTTGAGTCCATTTGATACACCACACCAGTGGCAAACTCCGCCTACTACCCCGTCTCCTCCGACCGATACATCCCCTGGGAGTTCTGGACTACGAGTCGGAAATGGCTCACGGCCGGCATCCATGATCTTCTCACGCAACCCGCCTCTCATGCAACAGGCGGTCGATACCCCGCCGGAGTTGTCGCCAATCTTTTCATTCCTTAATATCCACTCGAACAAGGTCTACCAGGAAGGTTACTTTTTAAAATTGAATGATCTGGATTCGCGTAAGGGAAACCCCACCCCCCCGGGGCGCCGTGCGGGGAAAGGCGGGCTAACATCTGGCAGACGGACGGCCTTCTGGGGATCGGCAATGGGTGGAATGCTACGCACAGTTGGTCGGAACTGTTCTTTCACTATGGGATGGCGCTGCGCTGGACGCAGCAGGTGGTGAAGAGGTCCCGGCGACCTTTATTAATTTGGCTGATGCGTCGATCAAGATGGTAAGCCTTGCTCTCCCGGAATGTTCGGGTATAAAACTCACCAGGGACTCAGATTGAGACTCTTCCGATCCAAAATGGAGCTACACAACCATTGAAGAACGTACTTAGCCTGTCTTCTGCGGGCAAAAATCGATACCTCTTACATTTCAATTCATTTAACTCGCTGACACAATGGACTGCGGCGATTCGTCTCTCGATGTTCGAACACACGTCTTTATATGAAGCGTACACTGGTTCTCTGATCGCAGCGAGAGGACGAACTCTCAACGGAATCAACTCGATTCTGGCGCCCACCAAATTCAAGTATGAAGATTGGGCGCGGGTGCGATTTGGAGCAGGAACTCCGTGGAGACGGTGCTGGTTTGTGATCTGTCCGCCAGACGAAAAAGAGCTCCAGAAAGCTCGAAAAGTCATAAAAAAATCGGCATATGACCGCTTGACAATGCCAGTTACCGGAAATATCAAGTTTTTCGAGACGAAAAAGACGAAAAAGGCGATTCCCATTGCAACGGTTACTCAGGTGTACTCGGCATATGCTATTTACCCACAATCTAAAGCGCTCATTGATGCATCCACCCTGGTGAAATTGGAAGGACGGATTACCACCCATGCGCCTGACTCTTCCTCAGAGGGTCTTGTATTTATCATGCCAGAGCTGCATCCTGCCGTCTCGGGACTCGAGATGATGCTGCGCTTCCTTTTCCCGACATTCGACACTTTCAATCTCTATGGCCGTCCTACTCGCCTGGTGGCAGACACTAATCACATTAAGAGCATCATGTTTGCCTTCCCTAAGGAGCGACGCTACGGTTATCTTGATGTGCTGGACATTGCCAATCTTCTCCAAACCCCAGGGAGCCAAGAATGGAGCGAAGCGGAATGGAGAAAACAGCTCAAAGAGGCAACCCAGCGCCGGATATCATCTGGCAGGAGCAGAACCAACAGTTTCAACAGCTCAAGACCTCTTTATCGCTCGGTGTCCAGCCGACACAGTGACGCCCCTATGGACTCTACTCGCCGCCAGTTTGCCGGTCTGGAGAAGAATCCGGAATTCAACCACTCGACCGAGGCTATTATTCATGAAGTCCCCCAAAACGAGGGCTCACCCGTGATGTATCACAACCGGGGGGTTACTGATACCCCGGGCTTAAACATTGGTTCTCGCCCAGACCATGGATCGTTCGTTGAGAGCACACCTGACTCATCCTCTCCAGATCTGATGCGTCGTGGCGTTCCAACGGTCGCTCCGATCGCCGAGAGTACCAGCTCTGGCAACGACCCGCATCTCGATTATCTTCAATGCCCGCCAGTCAGAATGCAGCTTCCCCCCAAAACGCCACCGGCTCCTGTTGAAAAACCACCCGCCTTTTCGCATGGACCTAAAGAGGTGCCCACCTACCGGCCCGATCCCTCTTCGGAGCAGAGGTTGGCGAACAACCGGATGTCTTACGCAACGCTTTCCCAACTCACATCGGTGGGCACGATGGGACTGAGCGCGGCAGCCGCCGGTGCTGCATGGAAAAGCCACCAGGCACAGACTCAGAACCACCAACAGCCCCAGGACAGGAGCTTCAATACTGTCCCCCCTCCGGTCCCCGTTCTGTCCATAAACTCTCTTGCAGTTTCATCAAGTGATGAAGGCTTGGGCCTTGCACCCCCGGTTCGACCTCCCCCGGTTCCGGAGCATTGCCCTAACACACCTAGTACTACCGGCAGCCCACAATGTGTTTCTCCCCAGAACTATTCCCCTCAACAGATGCAGATTGACACCGACAGATTCGTGCGACGCAAGCCACTCCCTCAACAAAACCTCTTCGGGACGGAGCCACAGTCACCAAGCGAACCGAGTTACGACGATCTTCGTCACACCCTTGATGAAGATGCGTTGAACAAAATTGCTCCTCATCTTCCATCCCCAACTTCTTCTGCTGGAAAAGGTAACGGGAATGAGGACGAGAGCAACTATGATGATGCATCGACGGATTCGCCTGACTATGCCAGCACCCACGAATCTGTCTACAGCAAGAAATCCGTTGCGTCCACCAAACCCAGAATGGGTGTCATGAAGACCGTGGGAGTACCAACAGTCAAGGATTATGTCATTGGCGATGCTCATTATACCACGGATCACGCCTCAACCTCGAATCCGGATATTCCCACTGTTGACTTCGGCCCAACTATGACCTACATGCCTACCACCGGGCGACCAACCACCTCCGACACCCTAAGAAGACCTTTGCATGACCGCAATGATTCGTTGGGAACCAAATTTTCTGTGCCTACTCAAACAATCGATCAGGCTAATGGCCGGCCTTCCAGCGGGGAGGAATATCGACGGAGCATGCTGTGGCAGCCTGGAATGGCTTCCGGGCGGCCTGTCACCCCAGGTGGAGGTCTTACTCCGGAGCAGTTCGTGCAGCAACGGGCGGCCCCCAGTCCTCCGATGCATTTCCACAACCGCAGCCCTTCTAACCCTATGTCAGTGCATCGCCCGGTATCTGGCGACTGGACCCAGCATGCCCGTCCTAGATCGCCCACGAATCCTCAGCGGGATGCCACATATCGACCTTTGTCTCGTGGTGCCCAGGGAATGCTTACCTACAACGAGGGCTCGGCCAATCTTTCCGCTCGTGAACAGGAGCACGTTGCCCGCATGACTGGTTCTTCCTTCTTCAATATGTCAAATGACAACCAGAAACCGCAGGCGCCAGTAAACCCTATGGGCCTTGTCTCACATATTGATACTAGGGAGCGTGAAAAGCGTGAAATGAGGGAGGGCATGTCGAACCAGGCGGTCCAACAGGCCATTGCGCACCGTCAGCAACACATGATGCAGCAACAGTACGCGCCGACATTCTTGCCGCCATTCGCTCCTCAACAAATGCAGTCCCAGCAAGCTGGCTTTGTGTATCCACCTCAACATGGTCGCCATGAGTCCATGTACAACATGCCGACTGCCAGTCACACTTGGGATGCCCTCAACCAGGCGGTGCACCCCGCAGAACCCCGTAGATCATCATGGTACGGGCAACTGGCGCAGGCTCCGCAAACACCGCCTAGCTATCCGCAACACCAGACCTACGGTCAAGAATCGAGGTACTACACCCATGCTAACTAGACCGGTTTCTACCCTCGGGTTTGACTCTGTCTCCCATCCATCGTTTTCTCTCGACCTTCCCTTTTTCTTCCAGTCTTTCAACTCCTCATTCCCTGCCCATTTTTCGGCAGTGTCATTCTTTGTTCATATTGAAACTCACTAGTCTCCTATCCCTATCAACCGTTGCACCTGGCTTCCAACCCGTCCCTCTTGCAAGCATTCCTTCTCCTTGCACTCTCAACCATCACTCATTATCATTTCTTTGTCTCCCATTGCTTCATTCTTCTTTGCATCACGCATCCAACCGGAGTTCCAGATGGGCGTGGTGGGATCGTCCCTGTTTTTTTTTTTTTTTGTCAAGTCGCTTCCCTGTCTTTTATATCGGGGTCCTTGCCTTTTACTCTCTTCTTTTTTTATTGGCATGTTTGTTTCAACATGTAGACCAGACTTGTGGAAAGATGCGGCCTGTATGTACACGGTATAGATTGACCATGGATATCAAACCAGGCGATTCATCTTCGCCTTTTCCACTACATTCCTTCTTGTTCCGAATCAGTCGTGGTCAGTGTATATCATAGCCAGATAGTTGCACGCAAAGGTTCAAAGGCAATTTAATACCTTGAAACCAAGCTGACAACCTAATTCTCGCCGACTCCAAGAATCGGGGTACGTTCGGTACTAAACGAATGAAATTCGCTGTTTCTCGTACAATCGAAGGCCGGGAGGCGGCGGGGGGGGGGGGGGGGGGGGGGCTACTCGACGACAATCTCGATTCTTCACGAATCCCTCCGTAAACTAAACAAGGTGCTGCGTCCGGCCTTTGAATTGGTGCATCACATACGAAGTACAGGAAGAACTTGTTCAAGCTCTCCGCGGCTCGCGGAAGCAGGCTGCGCGCGATAACGTGTCAGAATCCCAGCCCTGTCCACAGCCATGACGCCGGTCCTGCTCGCAAACGCCAAAAGGAGATCCCAAGCGCCGATCACAGCACCATTCCAAAATGCAGATGAGTTCTGAAAGCCCTCTCCTGCGCTAGAATACGAAATTTCGAAAAACCTATGTCACCGGCGATCGTGACGGACTAGAGTCTCTGCATGTTATACAAGGATCGATGATAAGATATTGGTCAAATGACAAATTTGTAATTTGAACTAAGCACTAAACAATAAACCTCCCCTGGAGGCAAAAAATTATACACGACGGGTGCAATAAGTAGATCAAAAATTAAAGCCAACCAAGCCCGGCCAGCAAGGAGTCAAAAGCTGTACAACTCGACTCAACCTGTCAGTGTGCTATTTAGCACTTAGCACCGCCGGGGATACCCTTGCACTTCTCGCTAGTGCGGCCACCCTGGACGTTGACATCACCCCAGGACCAGTTGGAGCAAGCACCCTCGGCACACAGAATGTAGACGTTGGTAGCACCGCTGTTGACAGTTCCGTGGACGTTGTTGATGGTCAGACCAGTGATGGGGACACCGCCGGTGGGGGTTCCGGTAGGGCTGCCGTTCTTGTAGTCCTGCTCAATGACAACACCGTAGTCGGTGATTCCGGAGAGGGTGATATCCTTGTAGGTGACGCCCCGGATGGAACCGGTGGTACCGTAGATACTCTTGACGCGGACACCTGTAGAAGGGAAGGGTTAGAAACTGGCATTTGGGAAGGGAGACCCGGTGGCATGCGTACCGTTCATGGAGTTCTTGATGTTGCAGTTCTCGATGGTGACACCGTCGACAATGTTGTCAGCGCGTCCACCGACGGAACCGATGGAGATACCGTGACCGCCAGTGCACTGAGCGCCGGTAAAGTGGATGTTCTAGAGAGATCCGTCAGTAAATGGTCCCACGAAGCCTCTCCTTGGAAATACATACCGAGCCGGAGTTGATAGCAAGGCAGTCATCCTGGTTGTGGACGGTAGGGCTGATGATGTAGACACCGTTGCTGGAGCCGACGTCGAATGCGTCAGTGTTGTGGCCACCCTGGCTGTCACCATCGAGGTTGTCGACGGTAACTCCGTTGAGAGTAAGCTCCTTAGCGCCATCGATACTGAAGACCTGCACAGGGGAGTTCTTGATGTAGATGTTGTTGATGTTGGAGTTGGTCAGGCTGTGAGCGTAGAAGAACGCAGGCTTGATCTTGCCGCCGTTGGTTCCCTTGCCGTCCCACCAGCGGGCACCCTCTCCATCGAGCTTGGAGCCCGCGGCACCCTGGACGGTGATGGAAGTTCCGGAAACGGAGACCAGGGGACCCTTCCATTCCTTGTATCCGAAAGTGGTGGTTCCTTCGAAGATGACCTATTGAGCTTGGTTAGTATCAACGAAAGATCAAGGTCGGAGATTGACGATCTTACGTGGGTGCCGGTGTTCAATCCAGTCAGGTCCAGAGTAACTCCGGCCGGGACAGCGACGTTGCTCAGGGTAATGGTCGAGCAAGCTTGCTTGCTGTTCATGGCCTGCTGGGCACCGTTGGGGCCGGAGAAGGTACAAGCACCACGAGGGGCGAGGAAAGAACCAATAGCATTGGTCTCAGGGGCGGCGGCAGGGGCAGCGCTGACAGCAGCAGCACCCATGAGGCCGATGAGGCCGAATTTGAAGCTGGAACCCATGGTAAAGAAAGAGGAAGATGGAAAAGAGTGTAAAGAGGGAAATGAGTGTGATGGTTTGTGTGATTCTTCTAGCAAAGGAGCAGACAAGTGATGGCTTATATACTTCGACGGGTTGACCTGAAACGAACTAGAACTAGAGCTAGAACCGTATTAGGGGGAGAATATCCCGAATTTTTCCTTGGAGATTAGCCGAGCCCGTTGAGGCCACTCCTGAATTTCGTCCAATGTGCTGTTGAACTGGAGGCCCCGTTTCCGTTTCAACCCCATGGGAGCTCAGAAAGAAGGATGAAATGTGTGTGGGGCCAAAGGGAGGTCGATAGAATCAGTCAAGCTTATTTGTGGATTCAGATGGCTGTTTCGAATCCAAGTTCCCAAGTGGGGTTTCATTTTGCAACGTGCTGAAATGCGGTTGCAAGAGCCGACGGCTTGGTCTGAAGCTCGTAAACTCTCTCTCCATCAGAGAGCCATTTGACGTGAGCATCGGATAGGGAGTAACAGAGGAGTTGAGTAGTTGAGTTGAGTAGCTGTCAGTCATGACAATCAGAGTGTAGGCAATTTACGGAGGACTAGGGAAAAAGGACAAGCAATCTGTTAAGCTTTCAGGTCCCACTCTACGGAATAAGCTATTCCTAAAACGGGTCATTCTCCACTTATTTTTCCTGGTAGCTCTCTGGCAAACCCCCTATCTTCCGGGTAGGCGGAGTATATTGTACGAAGTATATTGGACAGACTACACTTTGTCCAGGAAAGTGTAGTACACTACATAGAAATTATGACATGTCCTTTGTGATATGACCAGGGTTGTCCATCTCACATTAGGATGAGGCCCTGTGCAGGGAAATGCACGGAAGCTTCATGCGGGAGATCTCTTCTGGATAGGACAAGGCATATCATGACAACCTGAGGGATTCGGAGTGGTATCATTCTCTCCTGTAGGTTGGACTCCACAAACTCCTGTACCCAAAAATTCCAAACGAAGAATAAAGGCTACCGATAGTCTGGTCCAATTTGCTGAGACCGTTCTTGTCTCAGGAGAAGAGAACATTCCACCCCACCTCTGTCGATCTTCGTTCTCTGATGGCGATGTTGTAGATCAATGCCATGGGGTCTCTTTCCCAACAAAAATTATACGACTCGCCATCCACAATCCTGATCAACCTCTACACCGCTCCATCTAATCCACTCACCAAAGCCCAGCCACAATCCCAGTCCTACCCTCCACGCCCTATCCTCCTAAATTTCCACGGAGACAGCTTCATAAACGACCACCCCACAGACCACGCACGCTGGTGGACCGTAATCCGACAGCCCCACCTAACGGTCGTTTCACTACCTATAAAACGACTGGCTCACACCGGAGCAACCCTTCCCAACTCGCCCTGGATGATAGCAATGGTGCTCCTTTCTGGCTGTGCAAACGTGACGAATAAAATCTGAAGATGTTCGGTTGTATGCAGAGTGGAGCGAGTGCAGATGGGACTCGTGAGGGGGGAATTCCCTTGTCGAGAGGAAAGGGCAGAGTCGGTTCACCGGAGAGACAATAAGGGTTGATCCTGAAACTGAGATGGATATCCAGGCTCGGATCCGACTTTCTGGGATCATGGTGTTTTACCCACCTGTCGAGTGGACGAAGAGTACTCCCTAGAGAACAGAGGTAAAACAAGAGTCGCATCGTAAGGGGGAAAAAAATCCCTGATCCGACCTTCTACACAAGCTAGGTTGGGAATCTTCCTGTCGAGTAACAGACACATTGCGATAGTA